AGTTTTTTTTTTTTTTATAAGACAAGGGTAAGTGGTTCAACATGTGGGGGGAAGGGGATAGGTGAAGAAGCCTTTTAGGCCAAAGGTATCCGTTTGCCCCTTAACTTTTTGAATTTGAGGGTTTTTACCCTCCATATTACAATAGATGAATTTTTACCCTTCATATTTTCGAGTTTGAGGAAATGAGGCAAAATTTAATGGTAAAAAATCACGTGCGACACGTGCATGTTAATTTCTGTTATACCTTAACGTGTCAATGCCAACTCAAAATTCTTTTACATGTTGGCAAGTCCAGCTAAGATTTTATGATAATAACTAAAAAATAATAATAATATAAAAAAAATCTTTTTCTTTTTTTTTTGGTTTTTCCTTCTCCTTTCCTTTCTCTCTCCCTTGGAACCCAACAGAATTCTTTGTTGAGAGAACCCACGCCGGAACCCAGGCCTGGGTTCGGTGGAACCCCCAGCACTGGGTTCCAGGGAACCCAAGCGCTGGGTTCGATGGAACCCAGCGCTAGGGTTCCAACAAATCCAGGCCTGGGTTCGATGGAACCTGCGCCTGGGTTCCATGGAACCCCAGCGCTGGGTTCCATGGAACCCCAGCGCTGGGTTCCATTGAACCCAGGCGTGGGTTCGTTGGAGCCCAGTGCTTGGGTTCCAACCCCAGGCCTGGGTTCCATCGAACCCGCGCTTAGGTTCCAACGAACCCAGGCGCGAGTTCAATGGAACCCAATGGTAAAAAATTTCCTTTTTTTCTTTTTGTTTTTTGCGGGTTTTGTTTTTTTTTTTTGATGAAGAACCCCAGTGGGTTTTGTTTTTTTTTTTGTTGGTTTTTTGTGGTTTTGTTGTTTGATGATAATGAAGAACTCAAAATGTAGAAATTGATTGAGGTGAATAGATTGGTTAAGATGTTAGAGATTTGCAGAAGTTGAAGAAATGGTTGAAGAAGGGAAGAGGAAAGTGAATAGTCGAATGGTTTCCTGGCATTCATCTAACTTTTTTTTTTTTTCAAACCTTTAGTTAGTGGTGGGGTCCACAAATAAAATTGGTAACAAGTAGACTTCCGTTCATGGGGTCCAAGTTGGCATGTCAAGTTGTCAAAAAAGTCTGAGGTGGCGCTGATATGTGCATACTTGACGGAGGCCAATGGTGCACGTGCTACACGTAACGTTCCGGCATTAAATTTTGCCTCATTTCTTCAAACTCGAAAATATAAAGGGTAAAAATTCATGTATTGTAATATAGAGGGTAAAAACCCTCAAATTCAAAAAGTTAAGGGGCAAACGGGTACCTTTTGCCAAGCCTTTTACAATTAGATAAATAGCTGGTGGGCCTGAACGCCTTCCTCAACGCCTTCCTCAAAAGTATTTAAGTTTTTTAATTATTATTTTTAATATTTAAATTGTTAAAATATCTTAATTTTTTATAATTTTTTTTATAATGTAAATATATTTATTCTTTTGATTAGTTTAAATTTCAAACTACAAATTACTAACCACAAACTTCTATATACTAAACACATCTTTGAACTTAAGAATATATAACTATCGTTTTTTTTTTTTTTTT